CAGACACACACACACACACAGACACACACACACACAGACACACACACAGAGACACACACACACAGACACACACACACACAGACACACACACACAGACACACACACACACACAGACACACACACACACACAGAGACACACACACACACACAGACACACACACACACACAGACACAACCTGTATACGTCATTGTAAGGATGGAATGTTCAAGGCATTAATTTTCACTCACTTTAAGATAATGCGGTTTTTAATAGATACAGAAGAAGCAAAAACACTGACAAAAAAAACTAGAAATGTTTAAAAACTTTGTCTTGCTTAGAATCGAACTGTCTCACATGAATCCGAACAAACTTGCATATTACAAAAAGTAGTTTTTAATTATGTAGCCTAAAGCAGAGATTCCTAAAATGGCTTCATTAAAAATCATCAGGGTTCTGCGAAATTATTTACTTACGCTTGTTAAATAATTACAGTTAGTTACTTAAGTATTATTTCGAAATAGAGCTAAATACGTGATGAGAAGACACACACACACAGACACACACACACACAGACACACACACACACAGACACACACACACACAGACACACACACACACACAGACACACACACACACAGACACACACACACACAGACACACACACACACAGACACACACACACACACAGACACACACACACAGACACACACACACACAGACACACACACACACACAGACACACACACACACACAGACAGACAGACACACACACACGCACGCACGCACGCGCAAGCACCCACGCTCGCACGCACGCGCAAGCACCCACGCTCTCACGCACGCACGCACGCACGCACGCACGCACGCACGCACGCACGCACGCACGCACGCACGCACGCACGCACGCACGCACGCATGCACTCACGCACGTACGCACGCACGCACGAACACACGCACGCACGCACGCACGCATGCACGTACGTACAATCTTACTCTATGGATCTCAAAAAGTAAAGATGCGATGTAACCCATTACTTACTATATCCTATCCAAAAAAAGTAATAATTCATGGAGTAATTACTTATATTCGCTAACTTTACTAAGAAAAGTGTTTATGAACGCGTTTAACTAATGGGCTAATGAAAACGTTTTATTAATCGCTACGCTTTTGAATAAATGGTTGGTTGAACTTAATAGTTATGTCACACTGTACCTAATAACTACGGCAACTTAATTAATGTAATAATTTGTGAAAATGAAAATTAGCAAATTTTTGTATACGCTTTACACTTTCAAACGCCTGCAGACGTTTACGATTACGATTTAAAAAAATGGTTGATATTGCAAATGTTCTTTTATCAACACATTTCCGAAGCAGCTTTATGATATAAATAGCCTTCTTGACTCGATTTGAGAGGTATGAGATATGTTGTTTGAAGGAAAGATTGTGGTCAACAATTATACCCAAGTACCTGATCGTCTCCACTCTTGAAATACCCTCACAGTCACATTATTACAGAATGTCACAAGTATAGTCTGGAATGTCGTTCTGCATCAATGGATTAGTAGCACAAGTTTTGTGGAAACACATGCATTTAGATATTTTCACATTGAGTGTCAACAAATTACGATTCAGCCACCCAGTCACTTGACCCATACCATTCTCGGCCAGGTTTCTTACTTCTTTCCAGGATCAACCATGAAATAAAATAAGACAACGGTGTCATCTGCGTAACAAATTGTTTCACACTCAGGTATTTTGAGTTCCACAGTTTCCAGTTTGGGGTCATTTATGTTCAATTTATGTGCACCTATGTTCAATGTACCTATTAAATTGTTTGCATACTTTCGATAACTTGTTTAAAGCTACCAATTTAGTTAACAATTGCAGTTTCGCTCGCATAGATCAAATCATCAAACCGATTGCTCGTGTACGTTACGCGTCATAAACGTGCGCTCACTTTATAATTTATAAGCTATAACTTACCGTCCCTCGTAAACGTAAGGTAGGTACTAAAATCCTTAGATCTTATATTTCTTCTTATATTTATTATCCTTAGATATTATCTTATAAATTCATCAAAACAAACCTAAAACGAAAATGAACATAGGTATTGAGAATTAATTATACTGTGACTAACGAATTGGATATTCGTTAGATATACCTAGTCATTCGTCATTGTGTCGATATATTAGTTTATGTGTTATACTATAATAATAGATTCAACAGCATTATTAAAGACTAAAGGTCGCTTCACACGTAACGTGTTTTATTACGGACGGAGCGGAACGTCAAATTTTCGAAATATCGTTTCATAGAAAGTGCGAAAGAACGTGAAAACGCATGCAATGTCCGTAACATATGCATCAATGCATACGTTACGGTCTTAGACCATAATGGTCTAAGGTTACAGAGGCACACAACCACGTGCCATGCAAACCTCCTGCAAAACGAACTACTAACTACTGCTAACTGCAAAACTGCAAATCTCCGTCCCATGCAAGTGCTAATACCGTCCCGAATGCAGCGATCTTTAAAGACAAAAAGTTAAAAAAATTACTTCCATTAACAATTACTTGTAATCTATATTAAATAAAAAAATTATTCTATTTTATACCGCATCCTGTAACTTATTACATTTTCATTTACATTAGTTCATAATTTTATCTATTAACTTTGGAGCTTTAAGAACGGTAAAATTATCATTTCTATGCTGATCCATTGGGTAGTAGAATCAGAACATGTTGGACCCGCTGATTCTATCTAAATCCTCATCGAAAACTGGTTTGTTTGGAGGAACTGATAGTCGTTTTATGTGCAAGAAGATTCATAATGACTTTCGAAAACAATATAATATAGGTGTGAACTCAGAAGATAATTTAAACTGTAATTCTTTCTTAAAAAATAAGACCACCTAACTTAAGCACCACTAGTACCTGATCCGGAATAAATAATAACTTGTTGACGCTGCACAACATTCAATGATTTTAGATTTTAGTTCACCGATTGGACCATTGTTACTTTTTCACGAACGCTGTCTTAACCAATTAAAAGAAGTCACTATAAATTAGACAGGGGCAAATAGAACTTCAGACTTAGACAAGAAACTGAGTAAAAGCTCTTTAAGCGTGAAGCCTGGCATGGCATGATTATACAATAAAATGTTGCGTCCGGACTGGCGGCCGTTGAATTGTTTACTGTCCAAGAACCCACCAAGAACTCCGTATACTGTCTCCAGCATGAAAGTATACAATAGTTTCATCATATTTCCAAGAAAACTTACGAGGGGTAATCCAAAAGTATTGATAATGAATATTAAAGACAGTGATTATAGTTAAAAAAATAGTTTACTATTTTGCATTGCCTCCTAACAAGTCAATGCACTTAGACCATCTTTTTTCAAAACTCAGAATTCTCTTAGAAAAAACATCTTTATCTTGACCCTCTAAAAGCCTCAACAGCGTCCATCACTTCGCTATCGGCTGCAAATTTCTTGCCTCGAAGGTGTTCCTTGAGCCGAGGAAATAAATAAAAGGCACAGTGAGTTAGATCTGGCGAATAAGGCAGCAGCAGTCCGAGCAGTTCCAATCCTGTTTCTTGAATCGCAGCCATCGCAACTGTGGCTTTGTGAGTCGGAACGCTGTCGTGGTGAAACAGCTCTCCAGATCGCAGTTTGCCGCATATTTTTTCTTAGTAGTTTCCCGCAATCTTTTTATTTGGCCTACTTAGTAAGAGTCCGAAATAGTAGCTACTTTATCCAATTATCCACCATAATTATTCCTTCAGCATCTCAAAAACGGAAGCCATAACATTTCCCGCCGAACTTAACACTTTGAATTTATGCGGCGTCGGTGAGGAGGCTCGTTTCTAAATAATTGATTGTTGTTTGGTTTTAGGATCAAAATAGTGAATCCAGGTCTCATCCATGGTCACTAAACGTAAAAGAGTCCCCCAATGTTTCCACCAAGTCGCGGTGTGTCTTTGACATACATTTTTTTAAACAGAGGTTGATGACACTTGATGACAGCTTCTAATTTCGTTTTTTCCATTTTGATGTTATCTTTTCGATGATTGGTATTCAAATGAATGTACCTCCCGGGGAATCGTAAGCCAATTTATTAATATATGACTCTCAAGCAAAAAAAAATTATGTGAACTGGGAATAACTGCTTATCATTAATTTTGGATCACTCCTCTTAATAGGTGTACTTACATACGAAAAAAGCCTGAGAACGCTAAAACGAACAACCACTTTGAAAGAGCGAAGAGAACGGGAACACTTGATAGAAACGTATAAGATCATGAGTGGAACTATTTTGTGTCGATGTCAGCTTGAACATTACGTCAGAGTAGGTACCTAATTAAGGTCATGGATTTGTATATGAATCAGTACTAACATTATTTGAAAAAAATTACTATTTTTTCTGTTCACGTTGTGATTATCTATGTATCTCTGATTAAAAATTCTAACGGACCTCCGGGCTTTCTCCCTATAACCGGAAACGACAAGTTAGAATGAATAGGTAATGCCTCTGTGTTTACGTGCACACTAGTTGTTAATGTGCCGGCTTAAACCCGGCGTCGCGTCGTCCAATACATTAGCAATGTCTCGCCTTAGACCTAATACACCCGAAGAAATATATTAACAATAATTTTATATTTCGTCTTTTTACTTGTAAATCAAACTTCACTATTGCGCATATAGTATATTGTATTAGATGTAGTAACGACCTGGTAAGACATGCTGGATGTCGATGAATGGAAGTGGCTCACCAATGAATGGCCTTGGTATGTCTGTAGTGATAATGACGATGAATCAGAAGTAACATCGTTATTCTTTGTCTCAAGTAGATCAACAGCATGGCGCCATTTTAGCAATTTCACAGTTAACTTTATTACATTCAAAGTCAAAAGAAACATGTCTATATTTGGATTATTTTCCAACAATATATCATATATGGATGTGTTAAAAAATTATACCCCATAAATAGTTCTTCAAAGTATGTATTTAGTTAAGCTTACCTCAGCTTCAAAGGTGTGTAAGTAAGGCCTCGGACTTTTGTACTCAATCTGAAGATAGACTTCATGTTCCCAAATCAAAGCCTTTCTGTAGAGGCAGTAAATACGGAAGAAGTAAGACCGCCTGCTGTTGTCTTTGATGAGGCAGAGGACACCAGTATCTTTTTTCTTCCATTCTGAATGTGCCGGACCCTCTGTTGTGAAGAGTTGCACCACAGCTGTTGCCAGACTCTAGAGAAAGAGAATTATTTGATTGAGAAATATTTTAGCAACCATTTATATTAGTTTATAAAATTACATTGCTGAACGTAGGCCACGCGCTTATATTGCCTTGTAGGACAATCTATGCACGAGACATAGTTACAACACTTGGCATACAGGTCAACAACAGAAGTTTTATTTTATTTTGAATTGATAGAATCAGGCGTTACTTTGCGAAAATCCATTATAATAAAGATATTAATAGTTACTTTGCAAACATCCGCCGAATGAAATCAAATGATGTGTCTTACCTAGTTTGAAGAGCACCTCCCGCCCTCCCTCAATTGCGTGCACTAATCCCGTCACCACTAATCCCAGCACCACTACTCCCAACACCACTACTCCAGGAAAGACACACCATCGACGATAATACGACACGTGTTTCGCCTCTACACGAGGCATCTTCAGGTGATGTAGACTCTACGGCGGCTGACCGATAAGATCTTATAATCGGTCAGGGCGTTAGGTCTATCTTCAAACTATGTAAGAGACATCATTTGATTTTATTCAGCGGATGGTTGCAAAGTAACTATTAATATATTTATTATTTAGAATTGTTATTTAGGAAGATGCTGCTGCGCATTTCCTCGGTCGCCTCTTAAGACATCTACGGGATGATATTGGGTAATGGATATTTTTACACTACCACTACATGGTATTGTTTTTTTTTTAATTGAACATCTGTAAATGCCATCTGCTTATTTTATTTCGAGGGTGTTACCTTCTAACAGATGCAGATTACTATCTCATTTGCATCGAACGTAAAATATCCAGACTGGCCACTGGCAGCAGTGTTAAAAGTGAGAAATATCTGGTAATGTGGTCAACTGCGCCAATCTGATCTCTGATCTGATCTTATGAAGTAGATTCTACGACATAGTGTGTATCTTCTACTTAATATCTTTTACTTGCAACTGCAAAGCTAACTCATGAAAGGAAATATGTGGTACAACTTTTTCTTATCCTACCCATTCATAAATTTACATGGCCCTATCTCACTGCCTTTTTTAACTTAAAAACACAATGTTGTAATGCTGTATGTAGTTAGAATGGTTCCACAACAGGAATTTATTATCACTTTCACTAAGTACAGCTTTCTGTGAACTTTCTGTTTACTACTGTTTCTATTTCACTTTTTACTATTTCACTCATGTAATGTTTGCCAACATTTTTGTATCTAAATACCTAATATTTAACATGAGTTGAATTATAAATTGTAAGGATTAATACTTATTTATAAAGGTTTAATTCCTATCAAGTATTGAATCAGGTTTTTTTAATCTATTACAGCCTATATAGGACCGTCCAAAACATAGCCACTCCCACAGGTTGACTCATAATTATAATAATAATGTCCTTCAGACCGAATTTCGGCCACGGCGGCAGGCCTCAACGGAGGCTAGCCATCGGCAGGACAGGATTATATAGTGCCCAAGTGTATGCGCAAGCACAGGTGCACTCTCTATTCCCTCACTCTCGTAATCCGATGTGACGGTAAACCCACACGACCGGGAGAGAGATCAGGTGCAGGACAGGTGAGACACCGCTAACTTCCTGACTCTGAGCAGCTACTGAGAACTTCTTGACAGAAAAACTCAATAATTGATTTTTAGCCTGACCCGGGATTCGCACCCAGGACCTCATGATCAGCAGTCACTACTACAACCACTAGAGAAGCGAGGCAGTAGGCCTCATAAGAGGGACTTTGCCATAGTTGACACACTTGGAAGGCAGGTTGTAATTGCAGTTTATTTTATAATTTCAATTCTTTATCGGGGCAGGGCTACCATTTCCAGTTTCAGTTTCCTTTTGTCACCTCTTACAACACCCACAGAACAATATGGCATACTGAATATTCTTACACTTATTTTTTTTCTTATTGTCTGAATATCTTAAATTTGGTGTCTGTTGTCGTTTTTTTTATAGAATTGGATGACAAGCGAGCACACAGCCCACATGACGGTAAGTGGCTGCTGTGGCCCATAGACATCCACATTTATCCTCAATTAAGTATCAAAATGCAAATGCATTGTCACCGCTAAGGAATAATATGGAATATCTTGATTCAATCGAAACATGTACATTGCAACGGAAAAATCTTAAGGATTTACATCTATAGTCCTCTATAATTGGACATGTGCTTCTAATAAGCTTTTTTTTATAATAATGAAGTGAGAAACGAACCTACGGACTGTAAGTTCGTTTTTCACTTCATCAGTAAACAAACTTTTTTTTATAAAATTAGGGTGACAAACAAGCACACCACCGCAACACACAAGCAGTCCATCCGATTCCGGTATCACCGGGTGCCGACCTATCTCCGTCGTATAGTCGGGGACTACCTGACGGACAGGGCCGTCATCTACCCCGGTCGCAACGGTGAGTGGAACCGGCGAGAGATGTCGTGCGGTGTCCCACAGGGTTCGGTTCTGGGGCCACCTCTGTAGAACATCGGTTACGACTGGGTGCTGCGCGCCGACCTCCCTACCGGCGTGTCGTCAGCGTAGCAAACTACGCTGACGACACGCTGGTACTGGCACAAGGGGGGGTCGTACGAGGCGGCGGCGGAACTATGACACGCGGGGTTGCGATAGTCGTTCAGAGGATTCGGCAACTGGGTATCGAGGTGGCTCTGCACAAGTCCGAGGCCATGCACTTCCATGGTCCTCGGAACAGGCCACCACCAGGATCCTCAGTGATGGTAGGAGGGGTATCCATCGGCGTCGAGTCGACGCTGAAGTACCTAGGACTCGTCCTCGACGGCCGATGGAACTTCGTTGAGCACTTCCGACGTTTGGCTCCCAAACTGGAACGGACCGGGGCTGCCTTCAGGCGGCTCCTGCCGAACCTGGGGGGACCAAACGCCTCCTGCCGGAGGCTCTACGCGGGGATCGTGCGATCCATGGCCCTTTACGGGGCCTCGGTGTGGGCGCGTGGTTTGGCGCGGCTTGCCGTCCACCACCTGAACGCGCCCCAAAGGGTGGTCGCCGTGAAAATGGTTCGCGGCTACCGCACGATCTCCCGCGAGGCGGCGAGCCTCCTTGCCGGATTGCCGCCATGCGATCTGGAGGCGGTAGTCCTCGCACGCCTGCACGAATGGCGCGCGGAGGCACTATGCCGAGGGGAAACCCCGCTGCCGCGGCAAGTTGTCGCGCAGCGGATAGACTTCCGGCACGATCTCATGGCGACATGGAGAGAGCGACTGTCGCAACCCCGTGCTGGGCACGCCACTATAGCGGCGATAAGATCCCTCTTCGAGGAGTGGCTTGAGAGACGCCACGGCATCCTCACCTTCCGCCTGACGCAGGTCCTCACCGGACACGGTGTGTTCGGGAGGTGCCTGCACCGAATCGGGCGGGAGCAAACGCCCGGGTGCTCCCACTGCGAGGATGGACCGAAGGACACGGTGGAACACACCGTGGAGGTGTGCCCTGCTTGGGCGGAGCACCGCCGTGTCCTCGTAGCGGCGATAGGCGGCGGCGACCTCTCGCGTCCGGCCCTGGTCGAAGCCATGGTCCGGAGCGAGACGGAATGGGATGCCGTCACCACCTTCTGCGAAGCAGTGATGCTTGCGAAGGAGGTGGCGGAGCGGGAGAAGGAGAGAGCAGCTTTCCTCCCCGGCCACCGCGGGAGACGCCCCGGGCGTCGGGGGCTACGTCGTGGCCCCCGGCCACGGTAGGCGCGGGCCTGTGGACGGCGAGCAATGGGTAGCTCGCCGTCCGTCCGTCTAACGACGACAGGCCGTGTCGACGGCGCGTTTTGTTCCACGCGCGCCTCAAAGAGCTGTCAGCAGCGTGAAGGGGCCCGTAAGGGCCAACGCCTGCCGGGGCTGCGGGCTGTTCGAAAGAGATACCGCGGCTCCGGAACGTAAGGGCACTGAAGGAACACGGATGGTTTCTAGTCAGTAAAAGTCTGACACTCCCTTACGCTCCACCCAGAGCGAAAGGGGTCATTAGATGATTTTCCATCCGCAAAAAAAAAAAAGCAGTCCATCTGATGACAGGTGGATGCTGTGGCCCATAGACATCTACACCTAAGATTAAGAATCGAAATGCAGATACTAAAATGGAATGAAACTCATTTCCAGTAAAAAGGGTCTCTGGTACTCTACACTCCATACACACCATATAAAACACAGCAGCATTACGCTGATATTTTACGCTAGTATTCTATGAGAGCGTGGTCCTACCCCGGTTGAACTGACCGTCACTACACAGCAAGCGGTACTGTTAAAAATTTTATACAACTGACTTCAATATAAATAAAATGAGAATGTCATCAATGCAGTCAAAGTCAATTAAATATGCATTATGAAGGATAACTCAAAACTATTGGTCAGATCTTAATCAAATTTATATATGGGACTACATAAGAAGCACCAGGTTTCAAATTTAAAAAAAACAACTTAATTGATTTACCTAGAAAAAGTTCCGAGGTAACACACTTAAACACACACAACAACATAACACATATAAAAAAATAAAGTAGAATCTAGAACCACCTCCTTTTTCAAGGTCGGTTTAAAATAAAACTAGACCCTAGAAAGGGCTTACTATAGAAGCTTAATTTAAGCCCATTACGCCTGTGGCATCGCTTCCGAGCGGTCGCATCCAGGCAGTCCGCGCTTTCGTCCTCGTACGGTAGTGCTCTCCCGCTCTCGCGCCTCCGCTGTCCCGCTCGCGCTGTACAGCGCCGACGCAGTGCTCACTCCGCCGGTGGCATCGTTCTCGGACGGTCGCCTCCAGGTGGTCCGCGCTCGTACCAGTACGGTAGCGCTATCCTGCTCCCGCGCCTCCGCTGTCCTGCTCACGCTTGGCAGCGTCGAGGCTGGTGAGTCACTTCACGCTTGCAGCTCTTGCCCCCCTGTCTTCGGGCAGGGAGGTTTGACTGACCTCCGCTTTTTCATTTTCATTTTTCATTTTTTTTGTGTATTGTCTCTTTCTTTTTCTTTTTGTTCTTGTATTATTATA